AACTGTTGCAGATGGGGTCGTGGGTGATAGCCTGGCACGAAATTTAGCATTTGGCACATATTTAATTAGTTATTTTTTTAACCTTGTGTGTCTACACAGCAAAGAGTCTACCTCCACAGCCACTCATTGACAGAGACCACTCCCAGTGGTTTGTGGAAGTACTTTTGCTGTTCTAGAACCAGCATCCACAGCCACTGTGGTGTCCTGGTTAAAGCGCTGGGCTAGGATCAGGCACTCAAGATTTATTTTGAATGCAGAAGGTCACAGGTTCAATCCCCGGGACGTCCAGTTGAAAGGACCAGGCAGCAGGTGATGTGAAAGACCTTCATCTGAGACCCTGGCTCAGTGGAAGAGCCTCTGCTTGGCCTGCAGAAGGTCCCAGGTTCAATCCCCAGCATCTCCAGTTGAAAGGACGAGGAAAAAGGTGATGGAAAAGACCTCAGCCTAAGACCCCTGAGAGTTACTGCCAGTCTCTTCAATACTGATCTTGATGGGCCAATGGGTTGATTCAGTATAACACAGCTTCATGTGTTTGTGTATTATAGGGAAGGAGCCATGGTTCAGTGGCAGAGCATTTGCTTGGCATGCAGAAGGTCCCAGGTTCAATCCCCGGCATCTCCAGTTGAAAGGACCAGGTAACAGGTGATGTCAGAAGTCTTCATCTGAGACCCTGGTTCAGTGGTAGGTAATCTGCTTGGCATGCAGAAGGTCCCAGGTTCAATCCCCAGCATCTCCAATTGAGAGGAACAGGTAACAGGTGATGTGAAAAGTCTTCAGCTGAGACCCTGGTTCAGTGACAGAGCCTCTGCTTGGCATGCAGAAGGTCCCAGGTTCAATCCCCGGCATCTCCAGTTGAAAGGACCAGGTAGCACGCGGTTCCTGTTTGGGCTCGAGTTGTATGATTTTCAGCTGTCGTTGTGTTGGTTACGTAGATATCTGTTGATGGTACTGATTCTTTTTTTAAAAAAGTCAGATCTAGGGATGCCAGCCTCCAGGTGGGACCTGGGGACCCCCCTGGAATTACAGCTCATCTCCTGGCTACAGAGATCAGTTCCCCTGGAGAAAATGGCTGCTTTGGAAGGTGAACTCTATGGCATTGTGCCCCACTGAGGTCCCTGTCCTCCCCGGGCTCCATCCCCAAATCTCCAGAGGTTTCTCAACCTAGGTCTGGCAACCCTACAGTCGCCCCTATTCCCCACCTGTGGCCAGGGAAGATCTGGCAAATCCTTGTCGGTTCTCAGAATCTGAGCAGGGTTGGTACTTGGATGGGAGAGTACAGACAAAGACTGTTTGTACTTGGATGGGAGGCCACCAAGGAAGGCTCTGCAGAGGAAGGCCATGGCCAACCACCTCTGCTTCTCACTTGCCTTGAAAGCCCCTTGCTGGCGTTCCCTTAAGTTGGAAGCTAAGCAGGGTCGGTACTTGAATGGGAGACCACCAAGGAATGCTCTGCAGAGGAAGGCAATGGCCAACCACCTCTGCTTCTCACTTGCCTCGAAAGTCCCTTGCTTGGGATGCCATAAGTTGGAAGCTAAGCAGGGTCAGTACTTCGAAGGGAGACCACCAAGGAAGGCTCTGCAGAGGAAGGCAATGGCCAACCACCTCTGCTTCTCCCTTGCCTCAAAAGCCCCTTGCTTGGGATGCCATAAGTTAGAAGCTAAGCACAGTCAGTACTTGGACGGGAGACCACCAACGAAGACTCCGCAGAGGAAGGCAATGCCAAACCACCTCTGCTTCTCACTTGCCTCGAAAGTCCCTTGCTGGCGTTCCCTTAAGTTGGAAGCTAAGCAGGGTTGGTGCTTGGAAGGGAGACCACCAAGGAAGGCTCTGCAGAGGAAGGCAATGGCCAACCACCTCTGCTTCTCCCTTGCCATGAAACCCCCTTTTTGGCATTGCCATAAATTGGAGGCTAAGCAGGGTCGGTACGTGGAAGAGAGACCACCAAGGAAGGCTCTGCCAACCACCTCTGCTTCTCCTTTGCCTCGAAAGCCCCTTGCTGGGGTCTCCATAAGTCCGCCGCGACTTGATGGCACTTTACACACACAAACACAACTACTTTGAGTCTGCATTTGGCATGGGATCGATGAGGTCTAGAAATCACTAAAGAAACAGCAGCCTAGTTTGTAGAAACCATAGGTTATCACACAAAAAAACATTGAATCTCTGAATGCCGTGGACATGCATCAAACAAACAGAACTCAGACAGGTCCGTCGATCGATTTCTGTCTGTTCGCTATGAAACAAACTTTGTCCGAAGAATTGGAATAAAACAAACTTGGGGGGCAGGGAGCTCCTCTTGCCAAAAAAAGAGAGAGAGGGGGAATTTGCATCTTAAAGAGCCGCTGTCTCATTAACATTCTTCTCAGGGATAATTAAAGAAAGCTGAATGAAAGCAAAGTTCTTTGCCCTGGTGTGTGTCTTTTTTAATTTCTCCCCTCCCCAAGCCGCAAACCCCCATCCAGCCGCTCAGCAAGGCAATAACTCTGAAAAGTGGGAAATTTTTTTTGGCCAACTTTGGAATCTCCTCCTCTTACATTACGTCTCAGTCAAAGCCAAGTTATCCAGCCACTGTGGGTTTCTTAAGTCACCCGAGCGAGCGGCTTTTGTGTGCGGCTGAGCCACAGATCTGGAGCACATTCGTAATCGGCCTGGGTCGGTTTGTCAACCTGTCCTCCAAAAAGAGACACCCCCTCTGCAAGAAATCATCTCAAGTTGGGGGGGAGAAATATGTCAGAAAGCCACGAGACCAGGTAAAATCTGAGAAATCAGTTCTTTCTAAGAACCCCTCTTTCTTTTCCAGATGCTCTGAGAATACGTGTCTGATTTTGCCTGTGTGCTCTATGCTTGATTCCTGAAAAGGTTTACTTGGAAGCAATGCTCCCTCTAAGCTGTGGAGTCCCGTGAGCAAAAATTCCACTTTGTGAGCTGCTGACATTAAAGTTGTGAGCGAGCGATTTGGCTGCTGCATAAATTTGTTTGCCCTGGAGCCCTCCTTCCTGAGCTAAGACAAAAATGTGTGAGCTGGAGGTTAAAAAACTGTGAGCTGGCTCACACTAACTCAGTTTAGAGGGAACAGTGCTTGGAAGCAATGCTCTCTCTAAGCTGTGGAATCCTGTGAGCAAAAATTCTACTTTGTGAGCTACTGGCATTAAAGTTGTGAGCGAGCGATTCGGCTGCTGCATAAATTAGTTTGCTCTGGAGCAATGCTCCCTCTAACCTGTGGATTCTTGTGAGCAAAAATTCTACTTTGTGAGCTACTGGCATTAAAGTTGTGAGCAAGCAATTTGGCTACTGCATAGATTAGTTGGCTCTGGAGCCATCCTGAGCTGAGACAAAAATGTGTGAGCTGGAGGCTAAAAAACTGTGAGCTAGCTCACACTAACTCAGCTTACAGGGAACACTGCTCTTGAGCCCTCCTTCCTGAGCTGAGACAAGAATGTGTGAGCCGGAGGCTAAACATTTTTGAGCTGGCTCACACTAACTCAGCTTAGAGGGAACACTGCTTGGAAGTAAACGGCATTTCAACAGCACGCAGTTCCAAATAAGAAATTTGGGGGATGGTGGTCACATCGAAAGCGGGTCTTAATATTTAACATTTTTTAAAAATTCCCCTAAGAACAAGTCCTCTGTTGGAAGACGTGGACCAGAGTTTTGACACCGTTATCTCTTTGGCTTAGAATGGCTTAGGAAAACAACCTTCGTCCTTCAGAGCGGGATGCTATGTACTTTCATGGCTCTTCTTCTTCCAATTTAATTTTAAATGAAGCGTCCTTGGCTTGCGACAGAAAAATGCAAGAACGGAAGGGGAGGCAGCCGAAAAAGTGGCAGATGGGATCGAGGGAAAGTGCGATGGTGTAGAGACTAAAATACTGCAAAGGAGGGAAAAGATATTCTACGTACACACACCTGGAAACCTTTGACATTGTGGGACACACGACCGCCAAGGTTGGGGGAGACACAACATTCCAGGGGTCTGGGTATCTCTGAGGTACCCTCTGGACTTGGCCAGGTTGTGAAATTTGTTCTTGCCTGATTTGTGGTTCTGTGTGTGTGTGTGTGAGAGAGAGAGAGAGAGGGAACCCTAAAGAGAATACTTGCGGGCCCAGGACACGGATTGGCAGTCCCATGTGGGACTGAGTTCTGTCTGGAGATTTTGGGGGTGGAGCCTGAAGAGGAAGGGGTTTGGTGTAGTGGTTAAGAGCCAGTTTGGTGTCGTGGTTAAGTGCGCGGACTCTAATCTGGGAGAACCGGGTTTGATTCCCCACTCCTCCACTTGCACCTGGCTGGATGACCTTGGGCAAGCCGTAGTTCTGAAGAAGGAGGAGGAGGTATTGGTGGAGGAGGAGGAGCTTGGATTTATACCCCGCCCTTCACTACCCGAAGGAGTCTCAGAGTGGCTTACGATCTCCTTTCCCTTCCCCTCCTCACAGCAGACACCCCGTGAGGTAGGTGGGGCTGAAAGTGCTCTTTCTAGAACTGTTCCCGAGGGAACAGCTCTGAGAGAACTTGTGACTGACCCGAGGTCACCCCAGCAGCTGCACGTGGAGGAGTGGGGAATCAGACCCGGTTCTCCCAGATTAGAGTCTGCGCTCCTAACCACTACACCAAGCCATGTACGTGGCACGGAGCTCCTTGGAGCAAATGTGATAAAGAGCATTAAGACCCGTGTCAACGGAACGATTATGGAAAGAAAAGGGAAAGCCTGAGGACTGGTTTCCGCCAGCATCAAGCGCGGGTGCCAAGTAGATCTCTGCAGCGAGATGGGCCCAGAAATGAGGTGCCAACACGGAAAAGGCTATGTTCCTGGTTGCTGCCAAACTAATTCCTGCCGGCGGGCCCCCTGAAGGGCATCCGCCACATAGGCTTAGATGCCGTTAATGTGTGTAGTGGGAAACATCTGGATTCTCTGCTGGGAAACCTTCTTGTCCCACTCATCAGAGAACCGTTATCCGAAACACTGGCTTGTTCAAACGGCTGTGCTTTCCTCTTTCCTTCCTCAGCACTTCACCCGAGGTGCAGGATGCATTCAAAGACTCCGGAACCGGCGAAGAAGATCCGGCAGGTAAATAATTAACCGTAGAATCCTAGAGACAGAAAGGGGACTTCTTTAGACGTCCTCCAGCCATGACCTAGACACTTGTGGAAACTCGAGCGGCAGTGTTAGAAGAGTCAATCAACAAATATATACACTGCAAAAAACCTTTTTTATAAGTTAAAGTGTTCTATATGTTCCATCTTATAAAGTGCATTGTGTATTATTCATAATATTTTAAAACAGGTGTACAATCTCCTCCTCCTCCTCCTCCTCTTCTTCTCCTTCGATTACATACATTTATTGGGGCTTTCGGGGATTCCTCAATGAACCAATTGCTTTCACTCCTAGGAATCGATTACTCTTTTTGAGTATTTTGAGTAAAAAAAATTAATATCGTTAACTGGGTTTGCTGGAGTCATTTATAAAGTTTATATTTCCGGTACCTGGCGTTTCATTTTATGGCAGACATGGCCCGGCCCGACAAAGTAACTTTTATGTCAGATTCGGTCCTCGTAACAAACAAGTTTGACAGCTGGGCTTTAGAGGGTGGACTATGGAGGAGAAGAAGAAGAAGAAGAGATTGGATCTATACCCCGTCCTTCACTACCCAAAGGTGTCTCAGAGCGGCTCACAAACTCCTTTCCCTTCCCCTCCCCATAACAGGCACCCTGTGAGGTCGGCGGGGCTGAGAGAGCTCTGACAGAAGCTGCTCTT